AATGCCCTCTGTTTCCCTATCATACAGTGAAATTTTTGCACTTTCTATAATCAGAAGAATTAAAGTTAAATTAATATCAGAGAAAATATACATCTTTTTAAGAAAATACGCACTAAGATGGCTAAGATTTTTTAAAAATAAGTGTCCCAAAACTAAGCTAATCCATAGAATTATCTATGGATTTACGTTAGGTTTCACAAATCACTAGTGTTTCTTTCTTCCTCAGTTACATGCATGCATGCGAGTGAGAACATGAGAGATATCCCATTAATTTATTCAAGTTAAATCAAGCTATCATTTTCGGAAAAAGATCTATGTGGAAAACAGACTCATTGCTTCAGTGCATGAACAGTGAGTAGGGAAGCGGAGGTGAAAGATTACTTTATTTGCAAGCCAAATCAAGCTCATATCTCCTGAATGAAATGCGGTGTGGTGCAGAGGGTTCATAGTTGATCAGGGCAAGGAAGGGATTTCCAAGCTAACTAGAGCCCAGTGAAAGATATTTTTCTTCAGCCAAGAGTCAGAGGTAGAAAATCAGAAAAGGTGGGGAAAGGCCATGTTGGGTTGACCCAGTATGATTTTTTCCTTTTAGTTTTTAGCAACAAAAAAGAAGTTTCAGGAGGACTGTGTCTTTATTTAAGGGAGAATGAAAACATCATGTTTCATTTTCCTTTTATAGCTGTGTAAAATAGTCTTCCCTGTACCAAGCAGAGGCTCCAGCTGGGGGAGCTGCACATTCGCAGAGGCAAGCTGGGACTTCAGAGTTCTTTTTGCAGCCTTCAGCAAGGCCCTTACCTGTCAACTGCACTGTAAAACTGAAAATTGAATTCTGTGCATTTGCATCTATTGAAGATCCAGGTATAAGGAGTATTTTGGAGGAAGAGGTCATTGGACAAAATCATGAGGGAGTGTATAAATGGCTCTGTTCCCTCTATGAGACCTATTGGGTTTCTTGTTGCTCCTTTTAGGAATTCCTAGAAAGCAACATAAAAAATTCAGAAGAGGGCTTTCTGGTCCATGACAGTCATATCATAGGAAGAAATGAGGTTCAACAAGGCCAAGTGCAGGGTCCTGCACCTGGGTTGGGGCAACCCCCGATATCAATACAGGCTGGGGGATGAAGGGATTGAGAGCAGCCCTGCGGAGAAGGACTTGGGGGTACTGGTGGATGAAAAGCTGGACAGGCGCCAACAATGTGCGCTTGCAGCCCAGAAGGCCAACGGTATCCTGGGCTGCATCAAAAGCAGCGTGGCCAGCAGGTCGAGGGAGGTGATTCTGCCCCTCTGCTCTGCTCTGGTGAGCCTGCACCTGGAGTACTGTGTCCAGTTCTAGGGTCCTCAGCCCAGTAAAGACATGGACCTGTTGGAGGGGGTCCAGAAGAGGGCCATAAAAATGATGAGATGGATGGAACACCTCTCCTATGAGGAAAGTCTGAAAGAGCTGGGGTTGTAGAGCCTGGAGAAGAGAAGGCTCTGGGGAGACCTTATTGCAGCCTTTCAGTACTTAAAGAGGGCTTATAAAAAAGATGGGGACGGACTTTTTAGTAGGGTCTGTTGTGATAGGACAAGGGGTAGTGGTTTTAAACTAAAAGAGGTTAGATCTAGACTAGATGGAAGGAAGAAATTTTTTACAATGGGGGTGGTGAAGCACTGGAAGATGTTGCGCAGAGAGGTGGTAGATGCCCCATCCCTGGGAACATTCAAGGTCAGTTTGGATGGGGCTCTGAGCAACCTGATCTAGTTGAAGATGTCCCTGCTCATTGCTGGGGGGGTAGGACTAGATGACTTTTAAAGGTCCCTCCAACCCAAACCATTCTATGATTCTATGATTCAAAGATGCATGCCAGAGTATACCTTCAGTGAGAAGTATAAAGAGCATTTTAAAAGGGAGAAATGAATTTTAAGAGGATTCATTAATATTTGCTTTTGTGTAGAATGCTGCCCACAATCTTCTCTAAGCCTTTTCAACACACAAATCTGCAGAATTCAAGCTTTATTTTTACCCTGCAGCTTACCTTTAAGCTTCCTATCAGCTATGAAATTGGGAGGGTCAGTTATTTAATGCTTAGATGTTTTGAAGATAAAAAATACCAGGCAGGCAGTGTATACTACTATTACTGCAGACACAGTAAGGTTTAAAATAGCTAAGAAATGTCCCTAACTGGAGTTTTCATTTATAGTTTTAGTAGGACTTTTAACTCTCTTGGGACATTTTTGCTGCACAGCTTTTATGTCCTGAACATCACCTGAGCTGGAATAATTTAATTAAGTATGAGAACCTAGAGACAGTTAATTTGATTCATCTGTATTAGAACATAATTTTCTGCATAGAATAATAATGCAGTTCACTTTTTTCCTAGTTACGCCCTTTTAGTTTTATTATCTCTTATTTTATGCTGTCATTTACTTTTAGACATATTTATCAATACTGTTCTAATTCAAATTTGATGAAGTACACTGTAAAATGACCTTTGCTTTAAGGCTGCAATCTCTGCAGAATACTGTTTCTGGTAAAGATACGAGTTTAGTGTGAGTATACTTATGCCCAGAAGAGGTCCACAACACATTGACTTTTCTTCTTTTCCAGGTAGCTATAGATTTCACTGCATCAAATGGTGATCCTAGGAACAGCTGCTCACTGCACTACATCCACCCCTATCAACCCAATGAGTACTTGAAAGCCTTGGTAGCTGTTGGGGAGATTTGCCAAGACTATGACAGGTAAATAACCACATTTGATAACAGAGTTGTCTTTAGAAAGTGTTTTCACAGTGTGAAATCAATGACTGCCTGCTGCCAGCTGCAGTAGCTCCATGTTTAGTCACTTAAGAGAAATGACTGCACGTCAGAAAGATTAGTGTACCTTAACACGCTTTTGAGAGTGACAGCGGGTTTAGATTAGCTTCATGGTAATGAAAGGCCTGGTTCTTGGCTGTTTGGCAGATATGTGTGTTAAGTTTCAGGTTTGTATTCACATGCCAAAATTGCATGTTTGAGTGGATTTTTCATTTGTGTTAAACTTGAAGTCTGTTTTGCAGATGCTGATAACATCCTTTCTGATATGCTTGGGAGTCTGGTTCTGTCCAATCCTACAGAAAAGTGTTCCTGAGATTTTGTGTTTGAGACTGAATTTGTAGTTGCCTAAATTGCTTAGTGGCCGTGTCTATTCTTAGAAGTAAATGTGTGGTCTTTTTCAGTCTTCTCCTGGCCTGTTGAATATTACAGCCTCTTCTAAAATGAATATTAAAAGATAGTTGTACTGTGTGCATACAGCATGCCTTTAAATAAATAAACAAATGCAAGTAATTGGGCCAAATATGCTTTGATTACATTATGTACTTCTATTGCTTTCAAATAGGCTGACTGCATCTATCAAATTAATTGCCCATTATTAATCTAATTACCAAGTGCATTTCCTTTAAATGTTCTTTCTTTGTTGGTGAGGCATAGTATCTTACACAATGATTCTTCCTAATCTTTGCACATGTAATAGACATCCACCCACCACTTTGCCAAATGTAAATACCAGATCTCAAAAAACCAATGGTATTTCCAGTCAAATTTGAATTATACTTTCTGTATAAATTATGGAGTGACTTAATACTGTGGTTTGCATGTTACATGTTGCATATACCAATTAGCCTGCTCAGAGGCACTTCCATTTGCATGGTAATTAAATGTCTTCTCAAAGAATAATGAGGAAAATACTGCCCTGATTCAATTTCTGTAAGAATTTGATGGTCAAACTTAGTCAATGAGTCTGAGGAAATTAATATTTTATTGTAAATGAGCTGATAATTCCTCAGTGATTATGCAGTAATTTAATAATTACCAGCAATAATTCAGTGGGTAAATATCCTTCAAAATAGGGAAAAGAATGAAAAGGGCTGGTTTATGCACAGAGATTTTTTTATTTTATCACTTAAGGTGTATTTTTTAAGAAAATGAAGTAGTTAAGTGGCACAGGCCCTCCTGTATGGAGATATTAGTCCCAAATCAGGATTCTCCTCTCAATATAGCATATTCCAATCAGTACAAAAAATAATGGCCAGCCATTTTTTAAATGAAATCATCAGCATCATTCAGTTCTATTGTACTGCAGAAAATGTCTATTGATGCTAATCAGCACAGCTAAGGTTGTATGAACTATGGGCTAGGGCTGAACAAAAGCCAGAATTTCTTTTCCCAGGGAAACATCACCTTTCTGGCATGTGTTTGACCTATGCATGCTCTCAAGTTGTGACACTATAAATACATTCCCATGGGCAAGTTGATTCAACACGGTCAATACTTTCTCATCAAAATGCCAAGCAAGGACCTTTTCTTTATACTTGCATGTTTTGAATCCAGCAAACTGGAAATGAAAACTTACAATTTCTCTAAAGAAGAAAAGAAATTACAAGGAGCAAACTTTTGCACAAAATAATCTACAGGTTCTATATAGGAGTTCTTTTTGTGTTTAGTTGCAGCCTTGAGACATATGAGCATATATGACCTATAAAGTAAATCTTCTGTAAATACAGTTTTAAAAAAAGAGTTTCAAATTCAGTTAAAAATCTGAAATGTGGCACAGATCCATAACTGCTCAAGTGAGCCCAGTTGTGCTTCAAATACTGGAGCAGGATTTCTGTTTCCAGGTTCAGATCAGCCAGAAGTGAAAAGAGAGGGACTCGCTGAACCTAAGGGCTGTTTAGAGCCAGAGTGTCATCATTTGCACAGGGGCATGTCTTTAGTAAGATTAAAATATAAGCCCACAAAGATGGCAGTGCTCTTACCTAAAGTTTTATCGTGTGTACCCATCAGTTATCTCTAATAGGCAGAACTGGCTGATTTCAGTCCAAACCAAGGCAAGTGGAGTGGTTTTCTTTGGGTCTCAGGATTAATGTATTTATATCAAATGAAAGAATAGTTGGAATAACGTAAAATCTGTTATTTGCAATGCTTTTTGCATTCCAATATCACAGCGGTTGAATGCTAAGTACTTTTGTTACACTTATATACCAAAAGACTCCTTTTTTATATTTGTTAAAAAAAAAAAAAACCAACCTATGGCTATTACTTAAAATACTTCTGTAATTAGAAACATTCAAATTTATTTGTAATTTGTGAGGAATTGGATTGGCAAGCAATATACAGACAGACTACACTCAAAATCCAAAATTTTCTTTTATATACTCTAGTTCTGTTGATCAAGCCAAATCTTCTCATAATCTACGTTTCTATACATATCAGCCTAACATAATGTATCCCTAAGTAATTAATGCTCCAAATTAAGTGCTGCCTCACATCCCTTGATACAGTGGAATAATCCCTGCTCATCCAAAAGCCCATTTATCTGTATGGTTCAGAGATCCCTGAAACAGTTAAATGAATAGTGCTGTTCTGCGTAGTTAAGCGTGAAAGAATAAGATTCATTCTTTCATCAGCAATATTCAGAGAATGAGAAATAGACTTTGATTATTATCCTGATTGTAGAAATGCTGCAGTCCTGTAGGAATAGGCCAATCTGATAATAGTATGGGAAATGGAAGAGCTGTTCACCTGCACAAAAGACTTAATACTTTATCTATATGGTGGAATTGTTTCAGGCTATAACAACATTTGTCATAAGAGAGAAGATAAAGTTTGTATGTGATATAATCAATGGCTAAGCAACAGCAGCAATGGATCATAAAGGAAGGAGAAACACTCAAGTCTAAAATGTCATTTGAAATACTGGAAAGGAGAAACCATATTAAAAACTTATTATTGAAAATATTTGGTAAAATAAGCAGACAGCTCCATGGAGAAGAATTAATTTTAAGATAAATGACTCATGAATGTTTAAAGATGACCTCATGAAGCAGTAAGTGAGAAATATATATTTCCATTTAAATATTTTCACAAGCTTTCTTTTATATAAAGAGTTATATCACTGGTATAATTTTACCTTGAAATTGAGAAGTCTACTCCACCTTTTTGTATCATAGAGAAACAGATGAAAATTATAAAAAATCATTGGGCACTGAAGTGTTTCATATTAAAAGGACCTGCTTCTGTATCATTCCATATTTATTCTTTACCTCAGTAATTTCAGTGTTGAGTTCTCTGCATCAGAAGTCAAATCAAGTGGTTTCTGATGACCAGCAATATCAGCCTAACCAGGATCCTGAAAAAATCAGTTGATCACTATCAAATGCACGTATATTCCCTCCACATGCTTTGAACAATGAGTTAGCAAGTGTATTTAAGGCAGATGAGGTTATACCTAGCTCTTGTGCACTATGGCTGGCTTAGGACTTCTAACCTTCACCAACTCTGAACAATGGTTTTGGTCGCCCTTTTGTTTTGGAGCCTGGTGGAGGCTCCTTCAAGGGAATGCTGTTTTCAGAGGATAGATGGCAGATGTTGTTGCTGGTTGAATACCCAGATATGAGGAAAGACAAACTCATTCATCAGTTGAAATATCAGACCTGTGAACCAGAATCTTACAGAATCCATGAAACTCTGTAAGTTAGATAGTAATAATTTTGAATGTGTCCTGTTCTCCATGGCAACTGTTCCCCAAATACTTTTAATTTATATCACAAAACTGCCCCCTGCTCAGCATGGAACAACACTGCTTTGTAAGCCAGAGAAGCCTATGGCTAAACTGAGACATTAGGGAACGTTTCCTTTCCCCTGTGTCCCAGCAAAAGGTCTGGACATGTCCTGACTGCAAGTCAGGACCTGACCTACCTCTTCTCCCCTCCCCTTCACACATCCTGACTTCCATCAAAAGGAAACTGAGGCATGTGGACAGGGAGGAGCTCCCGTGCTTTGCAGGAGGTTGTACTGTCTGAATAACAGCAGGGAGACCGTGCCTGCGAGCCACACAGCGCAACACAGCTGCCTTGTGTAGCCAAGAACTAGCACCCAAGTAGTACTGGGATGTGCCCTCAGCACATATACATGCACACTGGCAAGTCTGTTTCCATTATTACAATATGGAAACATCTGCAAAAACTAGTATCTATAGATAAAACAAGTACTTTTCCCAAGATAGGTGCAGGTGTGCTGTGAATCTCTCAAGTAAGCACCCAGAGCTATATACCTAGACACACACACATATATGTATGTGTATACACACTAGAGTTCTACCTGTGTGTGTATAAATATATAGTTATGCATATAATATATAGGTGTTATATATACTTACATACATATGATATGTATGGTTAACACTTAACCGTGCAGTAAAAAAAAATTATTTATCTTTTATGCTGTTTTATAGCTTCCCTCTCTGCAGAGCAAAGCCATAAGTCACAATAACAACAGTGCACACAGTTTATTAAAATGGCTGGTCCTTTGATCTTAATGATTTGTTTTACCAGTGCTGGAATACAACCAACTAGCCATGAGTGTAGCTCATCTTTCATTCTGCAGTGATTGCTGTCTCTGGCAAAGGAAAAAAGGCTGGAATGGGACTGTAAATAGCTTGTTTGTGAGGATAAATACTGTTACATGCATACAATGCTGAAGGCCAACATAGTTCCTAAATGATCTTACAGGTTTTAATGATGATATTGTGAGTGAAGCCCATGGCAGGACTTGCAAATCTGCTCTTCAGTTTGAAATCTGATTTCTGCAGTTAGTAGCTTTCCTTTCTCTTCTGCTTATTAAGAATCTCATTATATTACATTAAATATTTATCTTTGCATTAAAGCGTCTGCTCTGATTGAGCAGGACACTAGAGCTTGTTA